AAGAAGAAGAAGAAGAAGAAGAAGAAGAAGAAGAAGAAGAAGAAGAAGAAGAAGAAGAAGAAGAAGAAGAAGAAGAAGAAGAAGAAGAAGAAGAAGAAGAAGAAGAAGAAGAAGAAGAAGAAGAAGAAGAAGAAGAAGAAGAAGAAGAAGAAGAAGAAGAAGAAGAAGAAGAAGAAGAAGAAGAAGAAGAAGAAGAAGAAGAAGAAGAAGAAGAAGAAGAAGAAGAAGAAGAAGAAGAAGAAGAAGAAGAAGAAGAAGAAGAAGAAGAAGAAGAAGAAGAAGAAGAAGAAGAAGAAGAAGAAGAAGAAGAAGAAGAAGAAGAAGAAGAAGAAGAAGAAGAAGAAGAAGAAGAAGAAGAAGAAGAAGAAGAAGAAGAAGAAGAAGAAGAAGAAGAAGAAGAAGAAGAAGAAGAAGAAGAAGAAGAAGAAGAAGAAGAAGAAGAAGAAGAAGAAGAAGAAGAAGAAGAAGAAGAAGAAAGAAGAAGAAGAAGAAGAAGAAGAAGAAGAAGAAGAAGAAGAAGAAGAAGAAGAAGAAGAAGAAGAAGAAGAAGAAGAAGAAGAAGAAGAAGAAGAAGAAGAAGAAGAAGAAGAAGAAGAAGAAGAAGAAGAAGAAGAAGAAGAAGAAGAAGAAGAAGAAGAAGAAGAAGAAGAAGAAGAAGAAGAAGAAGAAGAAGAAGAAGAAGAAGAAGAAGAAGAAGAAGAAGAAGAAGAAGAAGAAGAAGAAGAAGAAGAAGAAGAAGAAGAAGAAGAAGAAGAAGAAGAAGAAGAAGAAGAAGAAGAAGAAGAAGAAGAAGAAGAAGAAGAAGAAGAAGAAGAAGAAGAAGAAGAAGAAGAAGAAGAAGAAGAAGAAGAAGAAGAAGAAGAAGAAGAAGAAGAAGAAGAAGAAGAAGAAGAAGAAGAAGAAGAAGAAGAAGAAGAAGAAGAAGAAGAAGAAGAAGAAGAAGAAGAAGAAGAAGAAGAAGAAGAAGAAGAAGAAGAAGAAGAAGAAGAAGAAGAAGAAGAAGAAGAAGAAGAAGAAGAAGAAGAAGAAGAAGAAGAAGAAGAAGAAGAAGAAGAAGAAGAAGAAGAAGAGAAGAAGAAGAAGAAGAAGAAGAAGAAGAAGAAGAAGAAGAAGAAGAAGAAGAAGAAGAAGAAGAAGAAGAAGAAGAAGAAGAAGAAGAAGAAGAAGAAGAAGAAGAAGAAGAAGAAGAAGAAGAAGAAGAAGAAGAAGAAGAAGAAGAAGAAGAAGAAGAAGAAGAAGAAGAAGAAGAAGAAGAAGAAGAAGAAGAAGAAGAAGAAGAAGAAGAAGAAGAAGAAGAAGAAGAAGAGAAGAAGAAGAAGAAGAAGAAGAAGACGAAGAAGAAGAAGAAGAAGAAGAAGAAGAAGAAGAAGAAGAAGACGAAGAAGAAGAAGAAGAAGAAGAAGAAGAAGAAGAAGAAGAAGAATGAAGAAGAAGAAGAAAGAAGAAGAAGAAGAAGAAGGAAGAAGAAGAAGAAGAAAGAAGAAGAAGAAGAAGAAGAAGAAGAGAAGAAGAACGAAGAAGAAGAAGGAAGGAAGAAGAAGAAGAAGAAGAGAAGAAGAAGAAGAAGAAGAAGAAGAAGAAGAAGGAAAGAAGAAGAAGAAGAAGAAGAAGAAGAAGAAGAAGAAGAAGAAGAAGAAGCAGAAGAATAAGAAGAATAATAATGAAGAAGAAGAAGAAGAAGAAGAAGAAGAAGAAGAAGACGAAGAAGAAGAAGAAGAAGAAGAAGAAGAAGAAGAAGAAGAAGAAGAAGAAGAAGAAGAAGAAGAAGAAGAAGAAGAAGAAGAAAGAAAGAAAGAAGAAGAAAGGGGGAAAAGAAGAAGAATAAGAAGAAGGAAGAAGAAGACGAAGAAGAAGAAGAAAGAAGAAGAAGAAGAAGAAGAAGAAGAAGAAGAAGAAGAAGAAGAAGAAGAAGAAGAAGAAGAAGAAAGAAGAAGAAGAGAAGAAGAAGAAGAAGAAGAAGAAGAAGAAGAAGAAGAAGCAAGAAGACGAAGACGAAGAAGAAGAAGAAGAGAAGAAGAAGAAGAAGAAGAAGAAGAGAAGAAGAAGAAGAAGAAGAAGAAGAAGAAGAAGAAGAAGAAGAAGAAGAAGCAGAAGAAGAAGAAGAAGAAGAAAGAAGAAGAAGAAGAAGAAGAAGAAGAAGAAGAAGAAGAAGAAGAAGAAGAAGAAGAAGAAGAAGAAGAAGATAGAAGAAGAAGAAGAAGAAGAAGAAGAAGAAGACAGAAGAAGAAGAAGAAGAAGAAGAAGAAGAAGACGAGAAGAAGAAGAAGAAGAAGAGAAGAAGAAGAAGAAGAAGAAGGAAAGAAGAAGAAGAAGAAGAAGAAGAAGAAGAAGAAGAAGAAGAAGAAGAAGAAGAAGAAGAAGAAGAAGAAGAAGAAGAAGAAGAAGAAGAAGAAGAAGAAGAAGAAGAAGAAGAAGAAGAAGAAGAAGAAGAAGAAGAAGAAGAAGAAGAAGAAGAAGAAGAAGAAGAAGAAGAAGAAGAAGAAGAAGAAGAAGAAGAAGAAGAGAAGAAGAAGAAGAAGAAGAAGAAGAAGAAGAAGAAGAAGAACGAATAAGAAGAAGAAGAAGAGAAGAAGAAGAAGAAGAAGAAGAAGAAGAAGAAGAAGAAGAAGAAGAAGGAGAGAAGAAGAGAAGAAGAAGAAGAAGAAGAAGAAGAAGAAGAAGAAGAAGAAGAAGAAGAAGAAGAAGAAGAAGAAGAAGAAGAAGAAGAAGAAGAAGAAGAAGAAGAAGAAGAAGAAGAAGAAGAAGAAGAAGAAGAAGAAAGAAGAAAGAGAAGAAGAAAAGAAGAAGAAGAAGAAGAAGAAGAGAAGAAGAAGAAGAAGAAGAAGAAGAAGAAGAAGAAGAAGAAGAAGAAGAAGAAGAAGAAGAAGAAGAAGAAGAAGAAGAAGCAGAAGAAGAAGAAGAAGAAGAAGAAAGAAGAAGAAGAAGAAGAAGAAGAAGAAGAGAAGAAGAAGAAGAAGAAGAAGAAGAAGAAGAAGAAGAAGAAGAAGAACACTGGAACGAATGGATCTCCGCAGTTGAATTGCCTTCGTAAGGACGCACATTCACATGTTGAAGTGTTGAAGGCGAAGTAAGGAGAAGACAAGGATTGAAAGGATATTCTTACAACAGCTCGTTTGCGTGTGCTTGCAGGCACTCCACTGGCAGTGGCGTTGACAGCTAGAGCGACTCCCCCTTTGGGCAGGGCGAGCAGCTTCTCAAAGGCATCAGTTGGGGAGCCTCCAGCGCTGCACTTCCCTTCTGCAGTGGTGAGCCCCATGGCTGCAAAGAGCGACTCCACTGACAGTTGCGGCGCTGCTTTGTTCGTTGCGATGCCGTATGCTGCTTCTATGCTCGCCACCACTGCATACGCCCAGCACGCATCTGGGAAGCAAATGGGACAGGGATGGAGAGGAGAGTGGAACGGTTTCAGGCCTACAATGAAAGATGTACGAGGGAGAACGCAGGGGAATGGAGCACAGTGCACTGCTTTTGCAACCAGAAGCTTCGGTTCATTCCCCCTCCACTCCTCCCTCCCACCACCCATCCACCCTCGTCCCCACGGCACTCACTGCAGGCGTCCTGGTCCTTGACGGGCCAGGAGAGCCACGGCACATCCCAGGAGGAGGGGTCGCGGAGGAGCCAGGCGTCCTGCTGCCCCGACTGCGTGAGAGTGTACGACGCACTCACGTACCGCGTGAACGGACTCGCCCGAGCCGGGCGGAACGTTGCTGCCGACACCGTTAGTCCATAGGCTGGCGGGCGCGCACACGTAAAGCAGATGAGCATGTGCGAAGGATGCATATGGGGGAAAAGGTGGATGCAGGCAAGGAAGGATGAGATAGGCAGTGGAGAATCGAACGGTAGTGGGTAGGAAGAGAGGGCAGGTTAAGGAGTGAGTTTGTTTTGTTTTTGTTTTTCTCTGCCATTCTGGGTGGGACGTAGAAAGCTAAGAGGCTGAGAGAAAGAGGGAGAAAGGGCAATAGATTCCGCTGAGTAAGGGAGTACAAGACAGCGCAACATACCTGGGAACGATGGATACTGTACTGGGCTTTGCGGAAACCGAAAAACCCTGCGGTGCGGACAAAAGACAGCAGGCAAAGTGGAAAGAAAAGGACAAAGATTGGAAGACGAGAGACTGGGTGGAACAGGGATTTGTTTAAGAGCCAGGGTTTTCTGGCATGGCGTCTAAGAAGGGACCCAATTTGTGCAGGTGAGTAAGTGCAGCAGGTGGAAATCACAGCAAGGAAGCAGCACAATCTGGGGCACAACATGGCATGGCATGGCATGGCATGGTCCACCGACAAGCCTCGGGTGTCTGCTTGATTTGGAAGCCTAAAACATCGCAAATTGCGTTGCTGTGCCCAGAAAAGAACATTCCCTGAAAAGCTTTCCTCACCTGTTCGAATGAGAGACACCAGGATGGCGTGCTGTTGAAGGTAAGGGGCCACGGTAGACGCCACAAACCCAAAGTAGAAGGACGGTTCAGCAGCAGTTGGCTGCAGCACGTCACACAGCGACAGAGGGCTCTCCAGTAGAGGCACGCCAGGTTTGATATCATCCCGAGCGAGATACACCCTCAGAGTTCCTGGGCTTCCCGGTTTGTAGTCAATCCATGCTGTGTACGCATTGCGGCCGTTGAGTGGGAAGGGAGCACGGACGGCCTTGACGGAAGTGGCGCTGCCGCCAATGTTGAGCCCCACGTGGTGGCCGGGCATGTCCCCATGCGCTGCATCTGTGAACGTGTCAAACTCTACGGCTATGCTCCGAGCGTCCATGCCAGCGTACCCCACCCCTCCCCCCTCCCCGCCAGATCCTGCTGCGTTCGTCGCGGAAATCACAAACGCCAGCCCGTTGGCCCCCTGGCGATCGGGGTTGCTCGCAGAAGCAGCAGCAGCAGTGGGGAACATGAAGAAGGTGAAGTTGGCTTGGAACTGCAGCTGGGTGCCACAGCCCTCCTTGACAGAATCGTACGAGAAGAGCACGAGAGGGTCGGCAGTGAATACACTGCCTGTCTCTGCTGCTGTGCCCTTGGTGAGAACAGTCGGCTCCACCACGTCACCGTTTCGGAGCGAGCCTGCAGCAGCAAGGGGGATGCGGCAACACAAGGAGAGGAAGAAGAGTAGCGCGTTGGAGAAGCAGATTGTCACGACATGGCAAGCAGTTCTGTCAGAAAGAATGCGGCCATGCATAGTACTCCTCTTCACTACACGCACGTACCCGCAGCGATGCAGTAGATCCCTCCATCCTCCACGAACCCATCGTGACACAGGCACGTGGGAACAAGATTCGGACCGTCCGGGTGGCACACTCCCAGGCCCCCGCAAGCAGGCGTGGTGCTGTTGGCAATCCCACAGAACGCCTCACACACTGCTGCCGGCCGCTGCTCAGCACCTTTGCACGAGCCGCTGCTGCTGCTGCTGCCGATGGAATGGAAAAGCAGTTGGCGCCGAGACGCATGGAGTCCAGCGAGCAGTCGGATTCTTGCAGGCCTCCCGAGAGGTAGTTGCTGCTGTAGTCATAGTAGGCATACTCTGGCATGCTGGCAGGATTCAGAATGGGCCCCGTGAGGTAATTGCGTGCCACGTCTCTGCGAGAACAGCGGGTGGGAGAGACGTGGCCTGTGGGAGAGGTAAGTGGGTGGAGGGAGAGTGGATGTCCGCACAAGTAGGCTACGCATGAGGACAGGACAAGGGTTGACCCGACCCAACCCGATCCGACCCAGTCTTACCCAGGCTGGGTCAACTACAGTCGTCTGCCAACCTGGGGATTCGCCTTAACCAACCTGGCTCAAACGGGCCAGGTCGGCACAATCCGGGGTCGGGTTTTTTTCGACCCGCTGGCAAATCCCGACCCGAAAGTCAGGTTGGTTCGGGTCGGGTCATGTCGAGCTGGTCGTGTCGTGCCCACCAGAAGAGCGACCAGATCCAGTTAGAAAAATCTCTGGGCCGAGTCAGTTGGAGGACCCGTTGTAAGTAAGAGCATGGCCGTCGCAGCATTTAGAGCACAGCAAGTGGTGTGATCGTAACCAGAACACAACTGAAAGATGAAACATGCACTGCATGAGTCAGGACGTGGAGAAGAGTGAAGTGCCAAGTCATCTTGCTAGGAATCTGAGAAGTCACAGACAGCGTGCTGTGACCTGTCGCTGACAACTCTCAAAGACTGCTATGAGATGTCCTGAAAAGGTGCTCACAGCGTGTAAAGGGATGGAATGGCTGTGAGATCTTCTGGTATGGAGCCATAGAGCTGGTTTCCTGACAGGAATCTGAAGTGAATGGGGCAATGGGACGAGACAAGCAGATGGGCACGGGACGGGAAAAACAGTTGGGGCACGGGACGGCAAAAACAGTTGGGGCACGGGACATATGAAAGGAAAAGAGCGTGCATGATGGCACTGACCTTGGAGATGAATGTGAAAGAGGGAGAGAGAGATAGCAACTGTACTCTCGTTTGTAGAAAAAAAAAAAGACTTAGGAATTGTCTTGTTGGAATCACAGAGAGTTGAAATGATGCCCCATCCAAGCATAACTCTTGCACCACCCGAGGTAAAACTGGTGAACCAATCAGCGCAGTACAAGCTATGTGTGCTGTGCTTGCAGTTGCAAGCGCGTGCTCACTAACAGTTCAGTGAGATCTTCAAGCTCGCTCAAAGTGGCAGGGATGGTCCCCGTGATCTTGTTGTTTGCGAGGTTTCTGTGGCAACCGGGCATATTGGGAGGAGGGCACATTGGGAGGAAGGCATATTGGGAGGAGAAACCTTTTAAGCAGAAGACTGTTAGTGCAGGTGTTACGTGTGTGTAGTGTGTTCCAACACGCAAGAACATTATTGTCATATAAAAAGCATACAAATAAGGAAAAGAAAAAAGAGCACGCACACACGCGCGCGCTGCTCACATGGACTTAAGACTTGGGGCGCCGGAAAACGTGGCAGGCATACGGCCCGTGATTTCGTTGTTAGATAGGTCCCTGTAGGGCAGGCACGCGCGCGGCACAGAAATCAAAGCACAAAAGGTCGGAGAAAATGGGCATGGGCAAAATATGTTTGCGTCAAAATGGAATCGAAGGGACAGAAATTGGACAACCTGAGATCAGGTGGTTTATGGGAGGATACACAACACAACAAAGGGGGACATATCAAATCGTATGGGCCGGAAAGGTTAATGCTGGCATGCTGGCATCTCCTGACTGCCAGCCAGAGAGCAGCGGAAGGGATGCAGCGGAAGATGGGAGGCGAGGTTTAAGAGGAAGGGTTCAGTGGGACGGGCCTTTCACTGATGGAAATGCAGAGGCGTGAGATCGTTAGCGCAATGCGAGGGCGATACGAGATGACACAAGCCCGGAGCCCAGCATTGCATTGCGACCAGCATTGTGCACCACACGTACAGTGCTTGGAGGAAATTGGGGAACTCAATCAATGGAACTGTGCCAGTTAGACGATTTGATGCCAGTTGCCTGAGAGAACAGAGGGAGGGAGGGAGGGAGGGAGGGAGGGAGGGAGGGAGGGCGGGGCGGGCGGGAGGGAGGGAGGGAGGGAGGGAGGGAGGGAGGGAGGGAGGGAGGGAGGGAGGGAGGGAGGGAGGGAGGGAGGGAGGGAGGGAGGGAGGGGAGGGAGGTGTTAAAATATATATTGTGTAGCATGCCAACACATGTGACTGTACACCAATTGTGGTGTACAGTTGGGTTGGGACTACACCCAACTTTGGGTGTAGTCTTGCACTTTGGGGTGCCAATCCACCCAATTGTGGTGGAGCCCCCAAATGCAACCCTCTTGACTTGTGGGTACCTCACTTCCCACAATTGAGGTTACCCCAAGCCAAGTGGGCCTAGGGTTGCCTCACTTCTACAAAGTGTGGGCAACCCAACCCACTTGACCTATGGTTCCCTCACTTCCCCAAGTGAGGTCAACCCAACCTATGGTCACTTTCATCCTTCCCTTCCAACCTTCCCTTTCCAACTATGTATGCTAGGTTGTTCCTTCTAATCTAATGACTTGTTCAATTTCCTACTTTCACATGGTATAGAGCTACTTGTTCCTAGGCCTTACCTCTCCCTCCCTTCAGTTTTTTTTTTTCCCATGGGCCCACCCCACAGCTACAAACCCTTTCCTACGCGTGGCTCAACTAGCCATCACTAGCATACTCTCGCCTCCGCGACCTACGCCGTCGCCGCCGTTCCCCCCCCCCTCCCCGCCGCGATTACGCCTTCCTCGCCTGCGGATTCCACCGCCGCCGCGAGCGCAAACGCCGCTGTCCCTCTCCCCCGCCCCCCAGCCGCGACCCCCTGTCGCCGCCTCCCCTTCTCGCCGCCCCGCGCCTGATTCGGCGCCGCCTGCGCATCCTGCCGCCGCGACGCCTCGTCGCCGCCTGCCCGCTGCCCGTCCCTCCGCCGCGACGTCACGTCGCCGCGTTCCCGCCGCAGCGCCTGCTACGGCGCCGCCTGCGCATCCTGCCGCCGCGACGGCCTCGTCGCCGCCTTGCCCGTCTCCTCCGCCGCGACGTCTCGTCGCCGCGTTCCCCCGCCGCCGCGCCTGCTTCGGCGCCGCCTGCGCATCCCTGCCGCCCGCGACGCCTCGTCGCCGCCTGCCCGTCCCTTCCGCCGCGACGTCTCGTCGCCGCGTTCCCGCCGCCGCGCCTGCTACGGCGCCGCCTGCGCATCCTGCCGCCGCGACACCTCGTCGCCGCCATGCCCGTCCCTCCGCCGCGACGTCTCGTCGCCGCGTTCCTGCCGCCGCGCCTGCTTCGGCGCCGCCTGCGCATTCCCGCCGCCGCGACGCCTCGTCGCCGCCTGCCCGTCCTCCGCCGCGACGTCACGTCGCCGCCTTCCCGCCGCCGCGCCTGCTTCGGCGCCGTCTGCCCGTCCCGCCGCCGCGACAGCTCGTCGCCCCCTGCCCGTCCCGCCGCCGCGACCTAACATCGCCGCCTGCGCATTCCGCCGCCGCGACTTGCTCGTCGTCACCTCCCCGCCCCCACACCCCCCCCCCCCCCCCCCCCCCCCACCCCCCCCCCCCCCCCCCCCCCCCCCCCCCCCCCCCCCCGCCGCCACGATTTCGCATTGCCGCCTCCCCTCCCACCGCCGCACCTGCTTCCGCGTCACCCACGCATCTCGCTGCCCCTTCTGCATCGCCACCCTCCCGCAATTTCCCCCGCCGCAACTGCAACATCGTCGCCCCGCGGTTCCCGTTAACGCCACTGCGCCGCCGCCGCCCTACCGCCGCGACTGCTTCGGCGCCGCCTGCCCATCCTCCACCGCGACCGCGCCATCCCCGCCCACACTTCCTGCCGCCGTGACTGCCCCGTCGCCGCCTGCAGATTCAGCCGCAACTGCACCCTCCCTTCCTCCTCCTCCTCCCTACTCCTCTCCCCCCCCCTCCCCCTCCCCCTGCGCCCCTCGTTGCCGCGGCCTGCCTGCCGCCGCCGTCCCTCGTTTCGCCGCCGCGGCCCCTTCCCGCCGTCGCCTGCGCCCCTCGTCGTCGCGGCCTGCTCGCCGCCGCCGCCCCCGACTTTGCCACCGCCTCCCCTTCCCGCCCGCCGCACGTTCGCACAGCCGCCTGCGCCCTTGTCACCGTCGCTCCCTGCACCTTGAACGCCTCTGCCCTCCACCGCTGTCTCCCTCCTTTACCCCCCCCCCCCCCCCCCCCCCCTCCCTCCTCCTGCCAGCGGCAGCAGCAGCAGCGGCAGCAGGGGAAGTGCAGCAGCCTCCGCAGCAGCAACTTCACCCTTGGCCGCCGCGGGTCCACCCGCCGTCGCCCATCATGACTGCTACCCCCCCTGCCCCTCTCCCCCCTCCTCACTGGAGCAGTGTTACTCCTCGCCCCTCCCTTCTCAACACTCCGACCCTCCACTCCTCCCCCCCCCCTTATCTCCGCCTGCTCACCCCCCTCCCCCCCCTCCCCATCTGCGGCGTTTCCAGCAGCTCCAGCATCAGCAGCAGCAGGACTTCCAGCAGCGGCAGCAACCACAATTTCTCCAGCCGCACCCCCCACATCTCCTCCAGCCGCGGCAATCGCAGCAGCAGCAGTTCTTCCAACACCAACAGCAGCCGCAATCTCTCCAGCCTCACCCGCCACAGTTTCTCCATCCCCAGCAGCAGCAGTCCTTCCAGCCGCAGCAGCGGCAGTCCTTCCAGCAGCAGCAGCTGCCACAGTTCCTTCCACCGCAGCAGCAGCAGTCCTTCCTGCAGCAGCAGCAGCCACAGTCTCTCCAGCCGCAGCAGCAGCAGTGCTTCCAGCAGCAGCAGCTGCCACAGTTCCTTCCGCCGCAGCAGCAGCAGTCCTTCCAGCAGCAGCGGCAGCCACAGTTTCTTCAGCCGCAGCAGCAGCAGTGCTTCCAGCAGCAGCACCAGCCACAGTTCTCTCCATCCGCAGCAGCAGCAGTGCTTCCAGCAGCAGCAAGCCCCCACAATCTCTCCAGCCGCAGCAACCGCGGCAGCATCGGCGGTGCTTCCAGCAGCAGCAGCAGCCCAATCTCTCCAGCCGCAACCGTCACAGTCTCTCCCACCGCGGCAGCCGCAGCAGCAACAGTACTTACAGCAGCAGCACCCGCCGCTCTCTCCCTCTTCTATCCATGAAACAACTCTCCAGTACTCTGTGTTCCCTCCCTCCTCCTTCCCCCCCACCCTGGACTTTGTCCTTGACAGTGGGGCCACCGAAACCGCACTAAAAGACGCTGGCACCCTCACCCCCCTTCCACTTCCCACCCAGGTTCATGGTGCCGACTCCAGCTTTTCCATCCCCTGCACTCACCTCTCCACCCTTCCTTGCACCGCCTTCCCATCCGGTACAGTCACCGGTCTCCACATCCCTACCCTTCGCAATAACCTCCTCTCCCACCGTGAACTCCAAGGCGTTGACATTACCGCCATATACCCTGGCTTTGCTTCCTACTGCGATCTCTACCACACCGCCTCTGGTCGTTTCCTCCTGCGCATTCCCCTTTGCCCTCGCACTCGCCTTTACACGCTCCCGCACACCCCGTCCCTCCTTTTGTCACGTCACCACTCGTGCTGGTACTTCCACCGGTCCCCTTCTCCCTCCCCCTCCCCCTCCTCTTCCCCCTCACCCTCCCCCTCCCCTTCTCCCTCTCCCTCCGATATCCTCCTCCTCTACTCCATCCGCCTCCTCCTCCCCCCCCAACTTTTCCCCCACCCCATCCCCCTCCTCCTCTACTTGCCCTCTCCCATCCTGCGGTGCTCCTACATCACAGACTCGGCCATCCCAACTTCGCCGCACTTCGCTCCACCGTCACCTCTCGCCTCCTTAACAGCCTTCCTCCCACCTTACCTCCCCTCCCCTCCTCCCCTGCTCCCCCATGCCCATCATGCATTCATGGCAAGCTCAAACAGTCCCCCCATCACAGTCACCCCACCTTCGCTCCCCGCCCCCATTGACCTTGTTCACATGGATCTCTGGGGCCCTTATCCCATCCGCTCTCGTCAGGGGCACAGGTACATGCTCGTGCTCGTCGACGACCACAGTCGGTACTCCACCGTCTTCTTTCTTCACACGAAAGACCAGGTGCCGGCTGTGGTCATCAACTGGGCTGAGCAGTGCCGCAACCACTTCAAACGTCCCATAGGCCGCCTTCACTCTGACGGTGGGGGTGAGTTCATCAATCATACTCTCTCCACTTACTGCAAAACATACGGCATTCAGCAGACCTCCACCCTTCCCCACTCCCCTCAGCAAAACGGCATCGCTGAGAGTCGCATCCGTGAGATCACCAAGATTGCGCGCTGCCTCATTGCTCACGCCTCCACCCCTCCCTCCCTCTGGAGCTATGCTTTCATTCATGCCGCCCTCCTCCTCAATCTCCGCTCCCACCCTCAGCATCCCTCCTCCTCCCCCCACAGAACTCTGGTCCAAGGCCAAGCCTGACGCCGCAGGCCTTCGTGTTTGGGGCTGCAAGGCGTTCGTCCTCATTCCACCGGCCGACCGCTCCCGCGCTGCTGGCAAGCTCGCTCCTCGCGCTCTGGAGTGTGTCTACCTTGGGCACAATCGTGATTCCCCTGGCTACCTATTCCTCCACCCTCCCACCAATCGCCTCATCCGCAGCATTGACGTCGTCTTCGACGAGTCCACTCCCTACTACTCCACCCCTCCTCCTGACCCCCTCCCTCCTCCCACTCGCCCCCTCGCTTGGACCGGACACCGTCCTCCCGCCTCTTCTCCCTCCAGCGCCTCTCCTCCCACCTGTCGCCGCTCCACTCCCGCCTTCCTCCTCTGCCGACGTCTACAACCCTGCCGCACCCGCCTCCCCCGCTCACTCCACTGCACCCCCTCCCCCCTCTCCCTCCTCCTCTCATTCTCCTCCTTTCCAGCAGCCGGATCAGCAACAGCAGGGGCAGCAGCAGCAGCAGCAGCAGCAGCCGGATCAGCACCAGCAGGGGCAGCAGCAGCACCAGCAGCAGCCGCGGCAGCAGCAGCAGCAGCCGGAGCAACACCAGCAACGGCAGCAGGGGCAACAGCAGCAGCAGCAACGGCAGCCGGGGCAGCAGCAGCAGCAGCAGCCGGAGCAGCAGCAGCAGCAGCCGGAGCAGCAGCAGCAGCAGCAGCCGGGGCAGCCGCAACAGCAGCAACCGGGACAGCAGCAGCAGCAGCAGCAGACACAGCAGCAGCACAGTCCGCAGCAGCCGCAACAACAAGGGCAGCAGCTTCAGCAGCACCAGCAGCAGCAGCGGCGCCGTGCCACTTCCCGCTCCTCCCCCTTCCTCCTCCCTTACATCCATACCCGCTCGGTGGACAAAATCCTTGGGGCTCCTCCTCCTGCCTCCATTCAGCTCCTTGAGGACTCCCATGAGGAGTTCCTCAACATTCGGGAGCACACTCCGTTCCTTGCCTCCCTCTACCTTGACTTCCTGGGCTTTCCTGTCCTTGGCGCCACCACCACCCCCACCATCTTCACTCCCTCCACCTTCCAGGAAGCCATCACCTGCCCTGACGCGGATAAATGGATAGCAGCGATCTTCCTGGAGTGTGGGGAATTCATTCGCAACGACTCCTTTGTCGATGTCCCCCTCCCAGCCGGCGCCAACCTCGTGGACGGGAAATGGGTCTTTCGGGTGAAGCAGCTGCAGGGCGAGGAACCAGTGTACAAGGCCCGCTACTGCGCCAAGGGGTTCACGCAGACTTGGGCTGAGGACTACTGGTTCACCTACGCCCCCACCGCCAAACCACCCACCCTTCGCGCCGCCATGGACATTGGTGCACGTGACGACATGGAAATCGACTCCATAGACGTCTCCAATGCGTTCCTGCAGGGCGACCTGCATGAGCGCATTTTCCTCCGGCGACCCCCCGGGTTCCACGCAGCCTTTCCTGAGAACACTGTCTGGCAGCTGCGTCGCCCCGTCTACGGCTTGAAGCGGGCACCGCGTGAGTGGCATGCGAAGCTGGCTGCCACCTTGGGGTCCCTCGGCTTCTCTGCTTCCCACTCCGACGCCAGCCTCTTCATCCGCTCCTCCCCCCGCCGCTTCTTCATTCTGGTATATGTCGACGACATGATCCTGCTCTCTGACACCAAGGCCGACATGGAGCAGGTGAAGCTGTCCCTGCAGCAGCGGCTCAAGTGCAAGGACCTTGGCGCCCTCACTCACTACCTCGGCATGACCATCACGCGCAACCGCCCTGCTCGCACAATCACCCTTTCCCAGTCCCATTACATCGGCCAGGTCTTGGAGAAGTTCGACATGGCGCAAGCCAAGCCTGTTTCCACCCCGCTCCCCTTCGGTCACCAACTCGCTCCACCCCACCTCCCCCACCTCCTCCCCCCACCCCTATGCCGAGCTCGTTGGGTCCTTGATGTACGCAATGATGTGCACCCGCCCCGACCTCGCCTACCCCATCAGCGTGCTCGCTCGCTTTGTCGGCACTGGTCGTCACTCTGAGGAGCACTGGAAAGCTGCCAAGCGGGTCCTCCGCTACCTTCGCGGGACCAGGGACCTTGCCCTCACCCTCGGCGGCCCTTCCCGTCCCCTTCTCTCGGGCTTCAGTGACTCCTCATGGGCTGACACGCAGCCGGACCGCCGCTCCTCCCAGGGCTACGGCTTCACCCTTGGCAGCGGCCCTCATCAGCTGGCGCTCCACCCCGCTCCTCCGCCATCTCTCTCTCCACCTGCGAAGCCGAGCTCTACGCTGGCACCATGGCCGCCCAGGAGTCGCGCTGGCTCTGCTTTTCCTTCTTGCGGAGCTTGGCGCCCCCCCAGACGTGCCCCACTCTCTGGTGCGACAACGCCAGCACCATCCATCTCACTCAGGACCCCGTCTATCACGCCCGCTCCAAGCACATCGAACTCCGCTACTTCTTCGTTCGCGAGCTCGTCCAGAAGGGCCTCATTGCCGTTCGCAAGATTGCAACCGAGGCCAACTTGGCCGACATCTTCACTAAGGCCCTCCTTCGCCCCGCGCACTCTGCCTTCCTCCGCCTCATTGGCCTTGCTCGCCCGGGCGCCCCTTGATTCAGGGGTTGTTCTCTTCTTGTGTTAGCATGCTAAGGGGTTGTGTTAAAATATATATTGTGTAGCATGCCAACACATGTGACTGTACACCAATTGTGGTGTACAATTGGGTTAAGACTACACCCAATTTGGGTGTAGTCTTGCACTTTGGGGTGCCAATCCACCCAATTGTGGTGGAGCCCCCAAATGCAACCCCTCTTGACTTGTGGGTACCTCACTTCCCACAATTGAGGTTACCCCAAGCCAAGTGGGCCTAGGGTTGCCTCACTTCTACAAAGTGTGGGCAACCCAACCCACTTGACCTATGGTTCCCTCACTTCCCCAAGTGAGGTCAACCCAACCTATGGTCACTTTCATCCTTCCCTTCCAACCTTCCCTTCCAACTATGTATGCTAGGTTGTTCCTCTAATCTAATGACTTGTTCAATTTGCTACTTTCACAGGAGGGAGGGAGGGAGGGAGGGAGGGAGGGAGGGAGGGAGGGGAGGGAGGGAGGGAGGGAGGGAGGGAGGGAGGGAGGGAGGGAGGGAGGGAGGGAGAGAGGGAGGGAGGGAGGGAGGGAGGGAGGGAGGGAGGGAGGGAGGGAGGGAGGGAGGGAGGGAGGGAGGGAGGGAGGGAGGGAGCGAGGGAGGGAGGAGGGTGGAGGGAGGGAGGGAGGGAGGGAGGGAGGGAGGGAGGGAGGGAGGGAGGGAGGGAGGGAGGGAGGGAGGGAGGGAGGGAGGGAGGGAGGGAGGGAGGGAGGGAGGGAAGGAAAGAGGGAGGGAGGGAGGGAGCAACAGTTTACAAGAGAAAGCATAGAACATGATGCACAGATATGAGAGACACTCTTTTCTAGTGCCTACCATTGGTCCAATAAGCAAGTACTCACTCCAGAAAACACATCGTTTCATTAAAGTCTTGTTTTTATGCACACAAAAGAGGAGAAACGAGAGAAGCAAGAGACGTTTAGGAAAGCGAGAAACACTCACAACCACGTGAGCACGCCCATCCCGGCCGTTGATGTAGGCAATGGGCCTGTCAGGTTGTTGCGAGAGAGGTCCCTGCATAGCGCGCACATGCAATGCAAGGGGGAGGCGAGGGGCATGCGAGAGGAGGGGGGGGAAAGGCAGAGGAGGCAAGGCAGGGATTTGGGCAGAGCGTGCAGGCAGGGAGCAACAGAGAGGGGGAGGCGAGGGGGACTAAGCAGGGGATGCAAGGCAGAGGAGGCTAGATGGAGATTTCGGCAGAGTGTGGGGACAGGGAGAAACAGAACAGGGGCTTTAGCAGCTCTTGAATGTGCGTATATGGAGACAGGGAGAAACAGAACAGGGGCTTTCAGCAGCTCTTGAATGTGCGTATGCATGCATGAAGAGGGCGCAGCCAGTGGGGCCGCTTCTGCAGGATGACAAGTAAGTGCGCAGAGGAGTTTTAAGACGTGCTGAAATAGGTTACAATACAACCTGATAGAGGATGGGAGGGAAAGCGCTCTGCACGTTCGCACCAAGGACAGGGACGCAGAGGCGTGAGGGAGAGTGAAAAGAGAGGGCGTAAAGCAAAATGTCTGGTAGCATCAGCGTCAGCCAGAACACAAGCAGCCCATGGAGTTTGCAGCAGTGGTGGGGTGAAAGTTTCTTACTTCTCTACCCACAAAAGGTTACTGTTGCAAAAGTTTACTGGTGCATGCGGTGGTGTGTTTGCCAATGAGAGATGCTACGGAGGGCAGAGAGGGTTTGAGCTGGATCGTTCGGCCCGGTCAGTCAGCGGCACACGGGGAAGGATGTGGCTTACAAGTAGAGAGACTTTCAAACGGTCACACCACACCACATAAGTGCAAGACAAAGGGAGACTGGCAGTGCGCATCGAAGCATGGGTAAGCGTGGCACAAAAGCACAAACGCATGAATGCATGCATGCTGGAAAGAGGAATAAGGTAGCATCAAGGCATTGCCATAACCAGGGTGACCCATGTAGTCACATGAACGTGTTTAGCTTCTCTAGCTCCGGCATTACTGGGTCGTCGTCTTCCCCAGTCCCTTGAACCAGAGAACCAGCATTAACTTCTTGTCCATGTAATCTCGCTCGCGGCCTCCCTTCCTGCTGCTCTGCTCCGGCCAGAGCCAAGGCCAGTAAGACGGCATAAGGCCAGTGATGTCTCATGTGCTGCAAGTGGGCATGGGAACTTCGGACACTCTTGAAGCGAGGTTGCCTCAGCCAGAACTCACATGTTTTGAAGAGTGGGTATGGTGAACACCTGTGAAACGGGGCCAGAGAGCCTGCTGTATGCCATGTCCCTGACATCGGAGGGTTGCGGATGTGGCGTGGGGGTTACGGCACAAGGAAAGGAACTGGGGGGTATGAAACGGCAAAGGGTAGTAGAACGAAGAAGTATGTTATGCAGAGGTGGACGTGCATTGGGAGGGAGAGAGTGAGAGAAAGTACGTTTGGTGTGTGTGCAAGTGCATGCATGCGTGCGTGCATTCCTGCATGGGTGCGGTCGTCTTTGACGGCTCTTTGAAAATCGATTAATGGCGTAGAGTTGGAGGTGGAGGAGAGTGAGAACGGATCATGCATTATGATGTATCCGTGCATGCATACATGGGTACGTGGGTGTCTTCGGGGTGCGAGCGTACAGAAATGACAGCTGTCCCATGTTGCTGACCGAGTCGGGAATGCTGCCAGCTAGCGAGTTGTCCCGCAGATTCCTGACAAGCCATGCCATGCCATGCCATGCCATGAGCGGTATCAAGGAATGGCCTGAAACCTGGAAGGCCAGAGCCTCGTGAAACAGGTAAGTCCATACTCCACACATGGAGTAACAGCAGAATGCTGCACGCGCTCGCATGCGAGCGAGAGTACTGAGGGATGAGGAGGGAGGAGTGCCATGTCATGAAAGCGCGCTGTCAGACATTACAAAAAAAAGAATGTGTGGTAAAACAAGTGCACTTGAACTGAACAGTACAGGACTCAACTCCGCATTGCCGCATGTGGGTGGGTAGCCGATATAATCATTAGTATGCCAAGCACAAAACATGAGTGAGGTAGGCAAGGCAGACAGAACTAGCAACCATCCATGGACCATGCGCATGCTCGATTTACAGGGGATAGCAAGCACTAAAGTAGGTGTGTGCATGCGGCATTGCTATGCACAATTTGGCGGCATACTCACATTAGACCTAAACTAACGAGACCGCTGCCGAGGTTATTGGGAAGACCAGTAAGTGCATTGCTGTCGAGTGACCTGACAGAGAGAAAGGGCAGCTAGCTGCATAATGAGTAGGGATTCCTTGCTTGGACACGTCACACGTCACGTCCCATCCCAGCCTAGTCAGCCAAGAACATGCGAGCGTAGTGAGGTGGGCTAATGTTGGTGTGTACTAATTAGTTGGCACCACTGATTCGCTGACATGACTGACACAGCAATGACGTTGGTGGTAAGTAACAATCAGAATGAGCACTGCAAGAGTGGTGCAAACAGACACACAATGAGCCACCAGACCTCGGAAAAAAAAACAACAGAATCGGATCAGACCATGCGAGACTGCGGGCACTGACAGAACATAGAGTGTGGTGAGTTGCTCAAGAGCCTCGGGAATGGTTCCTGTTAGCCAATTGCATTCAGTTCTCTGCGCATGCCACCGCACGGGAAGGTAGGTTACGGAGGGATGGATACAACACAACAAGGTGGTTATATGGATTAGACGGGAGGTGATGGACGGCACGTGGTGGTGAGGTGAGGTTTCTTGTCTGATGTGACGCTCGCTGCCATGCCATGGTGAATGGAATATTCCTCTAATTGAGACTGACCTAGAATTGCAATACCGACATTAACGGCTTATGATCGAGCACTGACAATCTAGCTCATCTCACGCAGTGTAGTGGTCTCTCAGGCAATAGGAGTACAGGAGAGTATTGTTGGAGCCAAACCGCACAGGTAGGAGAGTTGGATGAGGGAACCAATGGATGCTGGTATGGAGCCCCGGAGGCCCTCTCCCGCCATGTGACCTGGCAGGCAGAGGGTGGTGGACCATGGAAGATGAGGGGGACAGACGGACACACACGAGGTGATGGATTGCATGGCATTGAGCTCGCCTACCGTACGTACGTGCTACTAGTACTACACAAAGAATGACATGATGCGATGAAGACGGACTCATTCTGCGTGCATTGCCCTTGACTAGAGCCATCACACACACGAGCAAGCTAGCATGTGGGGTGGGGATACCTCAGGCTCACGGGTCCCAAATCATTCCTCATTATAGCATGGTGAGAAGCAAGCATCGCCACGCGGTGGGCCACTCACTCACTCACAGTCCAGTCCCTATGCGGTTGGTTCACTTACATCGTGGTCGGTGCAGTGGTTACCATGCGTCACATTGCATCACATCACATACATACAGTACCTACCGGCTGTACCGTCCCCATGAAGGTCACTCACAGTACGGTCATGCACGACTCACCACCACCATACCATGCATGCGGGTCACTCACTCACATGATGGTTACCATGCCGTCCCCATCGCACAGAATGCCTCTGGGCTTTCGCCAGTCGGGCATTGGGTTCCCATCCTCAAACTCGTCTTTATACGCCTGCTCCTCCGTGCACTCGCCTCCTTCCGCCCACCCCTCCATTGTCACGCCCCACTCCTTCTGGCAGTCAACCAGAGCTGTGACTGTGACGGGGTGCGAATGCGGCGGAAATTAAGAGTGCGCGCAAGAAGATGTGCGCATGAGAGCCATGAGGTCAATGATGTGGGTGTCAGGGGAATTGAATTTGAAGACCTAGGGACGGAGCGTGGCTAGAAAAGACGAACAAGATTGAGTAGGGGAGAGGAGCCAAGCCAGCAACTCAGTTGGAACGCCGAAATCTGGCAGCAGCAGTAGCAGCCCCAATTGTGACCTAATCATGCCCTCAAGGCAGTTTTTGACCATATTGCTTCTTTTTGGAATAGATGTGCTACCATACCACAGTGCTCTTAAGAATCCTCCCATCAAGCACAGAAAATGCTACAGACTCGCAACACAGCAACTTGTATCATCGTATGGTACCTTGGGAGGGGTGGAGGGTAACTGCAGCAGTGCGGGGGAAAGGCACCGTCACGTGGCATGACATCATCAGGAGCAGAAGCCGAGGCAGAAACATCATCTTCACGTGGCTAGCACTACTATTACTACTGCTGGAACTGCTACACGTAGTAATACCAATTGCACGTCGTCTTTCTAACGAATCATGCTCCTCTTTGAGATATGCTGACGTGAGCCAGTGGCGTCGGAAGCGGCGCATCGCGCTGCTGGCGCTCCAAGAGCAACGGGCACTGGCGCTGGTTCGGCGCTCGTAATGCTTTCAGTCACGGAAACCGCCGGCGGCGGTTATATACTCGACGCTTTGTAATACGGTGTCGTAATATTCCAAATACGTAGATGGTGCGTGTCAGCGTCCCCAATATCTCTTCAGTACATCAATCTGTGAAGTATGCCGTGAAAAGAGGGCTCTGATGCGGAATTTTGAGGCGCGTGTTCTATGTCCGTCACATCCGCTAGATGATGACACCCTCCAACAACTGCTGCAAATGACGCGCGCGCAGAATACCGTGTG